GGCGTGTCCCCCTACAGGGAGATGTTCGACGAAACATAAGAATACTCCAGATATACTCCCAAACTTGCCAAACAAATACTAAAATAATAGTCCCCAGACCATGTTTTGACAATTTTTGAATATTCCTCCTGTAGAGGGACGGGCCCGACTTAAGGGTAGGGAGGGGGAAAGGGCTTCCGAGAAGCACCCCTACGTCTTAGAAGGCGCGGGCATTGTTGATAGGTGTAAGGCCGGCACCTTCTGAGAAGCAGGGGTGCTTCTGAGAGGCCTTCCCCCCCCTCCCCCTACCCCCCTTTGCGCGCCGCCAGCGATAGCTGGCGCCCCCCGAGGATGAGCCAGAAGGCGTCCACGTTATCCGAGCCGGCGTCCGCCATGGGAGCCGTGGCAACCGTCGCCGCCAGCGCGCCGGGCATGCCCTTGCCCGCCACTGCCGCCTCCACCGTGGCGGGGATCTGCTCCACGAGCTTGGCCCCGACAGCCTCCAGGAACCTCGCAGGAGGAGGAGGAGGAGGAGGAGGAGGAGGAGGAGGAGGAGGAGGAGGAGGAGGAGGAGGAGGAGGAGGAGGAGGAGGAGGGGAGGAGGAGGAGGAGGAGGAGGAGGAGGAGGAGGGGGAGGAGGGGGAGGAGGGAGGAGGAGGAGGAGGGAGGAGGAGGAGGAGGAGGAGGAGGAGGAGGAGGAGGGGGAGGAGGAGAGGAGGAGGAGGAGGGAGGAGGAGGAGGAGAGGAGGAGGGGGAGGAGGAGGAGGAGGGAGGAGGAGGAGGAGGAGGAGGAGGAGGAGGAGGAGGAGCCGAGGCCGCACACCCCAACGGCCAGCCCGAGGGGAGGCCGAGAGCCTTCCTGCGGGCGTCCAGAGCAGGCTGCCACGGGCCCTGCCTGCTGCTGTCTGCACCTGGCCATCGCTCGGACGTCCATTCCCTGTGTTTTTCGGTTTTGTGCGTGGTTTTTTCGCCACATGATCAAGGATGCTCCTCGATGGTCCTCGCCGAGGAAAAATGCACACGTCCGAGCGACACTGAGGCGCCTGCAGGGCCACATCGTGAGCAGCAGCGACGTCGGAAGTCTGGGGCCCTGGCGCGTTGACGCGTGGTGGGATGCCAAGTGCTGGTTCCTCCACTCGAATGAGGGGCCACCCACCACTCGACTGGCAGACTGGTGCCTCAGATGCCTCCCAGATGGGGTCCGAGTAGATGGGGTCGGAGGATCGCGCCGTATCGCTGATGCATTGGCGATGCATCGTCGATGCATCGCCGACGTCGGCGACGCATCGGCGACGTCGGCAGTGGAGATAATCGGGCTCCACATCGAGCCGCATCGCCGATGCACCGGCGATGCGGCGCGATCCTCCGACCCCATCCACTCGGACCTATCCAGGGGGCCTAGGTGCATGCACCTAAAGGGGCCCCAGGACACACAAATAAGATGTGTCCCATATTTTCGCATATTTTTAGGGGTTTCGTCTTCCCCCCCACTTCCCATATTTTCCCACATTTTCTGGGGAATCGAGGATTCATCGTGTCTGTATGTTTTTTTTCCTCCTGAGCACCGCCCCCTCCAGAGGCCACGAACACTCTTCAGACCCCACGAGTCCGCGTTGCGAGCTTCCAGGGCGGCCCGTGAAGGCAACGCCAAGGACACCACGATGGCCCCAAATTACCAGCCTCGAACGTATCCCTATCCCTAAGATTGGCACGCCAAAAGGCGATGACAATCTCAGGGATTCGCCCTCAAAAATAAGGGAATCCCTAAGATTGGCACCGTGATGAGGAGGTGCCCAGCATAGGGATAGGGATGTGTTCCAGGCTGGTAACCAAATGCCTCGAAGCCGGCACAAAATTCAAGATGCCACCGCGGAGACTCAATCCGCCGACCCCACCCTTCGGCATGTGTGAGGCGCTGTCGTCATCTTCGTCGTCGTCGCCGCGCCAGTGCCAAGAAGACGAGGAACGGACAGTGAGAAAGTAAACATCGTGAACAACTCGATTCCCTTCCATGCCTCCCTTCTCTGACCGAGGGGGGGGTAGGGGGGGGAAGGAGGGGGGGTCGCTGGGGGGGTGGGGGGGGTAGAGGGGAGGGATCCCGGGTCAGATTTTGGCGGCGCGCGCCCTCTGAGAAGCAGGGGTGCTTCTAAGAAGCCTTCCCCCCTGCCCCTACGCCCCTCTGCGCGTGGCTCGGGTCGGGCGAAATGGGGGGATAGCAAAGGGGGGGTTTGAGAATCAGCTCACGTAGCTGATTTTCCTGGCGCCTCCCGGCGCCGGAGGCAGCTATGTATCGAGGACTGGGCCCCTCGGTGAGGCCGAAACCAGCTGCATGCAGCAAATTTCGACCCCCCCCCTTTCGTCTGGCCCGAGTGGCCGAAGATTGCCGCCGTGGCTCCACCTGTGGACTGGGCGGACATGGAGGCTCCCTCTGTGGGAGGAGGCCCCGGCCCCGGCTGCGACCCCGGCCCCGGCCGTGGCCCTGGCCCCAGGGTCCCGTGAGGGGGCCGCGGGTGATCATCGCAAGAAGATGCGCTGCACTGGCACGGCAGCGATGCTCCGAACAAGTGTGATACAAAAACAAGTGTGATACAACAACTCACCAGTTTGTTATCACACTCGCTTTTCATCACATTGCTTTTTTTATCACACTTGTTCGGAGCATCGTTGCCGTGCCAGTGCAGCGCATGATTGCGATAATTCCCCGTATGATTTGCTGCAATATTGCACGTGTACATGCATGCATGTTTTGCGCTTCCGTAGCCGCCGAGGCTCGAAACTAGTAGGGACCCTTTTTCCATGAACTGGAGTCAGGCAGTATTGCAAAAATCGCGCATCCACAACTTGAGAGCTATTTAGCTTCATCCTCCCGCCTCCAGGGTCGGCGGCACCGGCCCTAAGGCCTTCAGAACATGACCTCAAGAAGGCCCAAGCTGCCTCCAAGAGGGCCCGAAAGGGCCACAAGAGAACCTCCAACAAGGTCCAGCAACGCCAAAAATACTTGATTACTCTTGGGTGTCTGAATGATGCTCGCATTCTCGCTTCTTCGGGCTTCCGTTAGCTCAAGACGGCCCAAAACTCCTCCACGATGGCCCCAATACGGCCCGATATGTTCCCAGGAGGACAAGAGAACCCCGCGATGGCTCAACAGCCCACGACGGCCCAAGATGGCCTCAGACGGTGAAGGCGACAGGTGTCACATGTGTCGGCCTTTTTCTTCTTTCTTCTCCTCCTCCTCCTCCTCCTCCTCCTCCTCCTCCTCTTGCTCATTCTCCTCCCTCCTCATCATCATCCCCATCATCCCCATCATCCTCATCATCCTCATCATCCTCATCACGGCTCTCCCGTGTGGAGACACGAGGCATCACGCGTGACGGCCTCCCGTGCCCCCTCGAACATTCATGCTGGGCTGGCACGGTCGCGGGACTCGCCGCAGGCAGCTGGATTCGCCGCCCCCTGTTGATTCAACACAGGGGTGCCCGGCGCGCTGGACTTCTTATGATTTGGTTGTGGTTCTTTCTCCCCAAAAAACTCCCCCATGAGGCTCCGGCGCGTCCCGCCGGCCGACCGGAAAGATGCCGAAAGATCTTCCAAAGGTGTTTGCAAAAGGTTTTTCCGTTCCAGACGGCTCCAAGATGACCCAAGATGGCCTCCAAGATGGCCTCTAAGACGGCTAAGATGGCCCCAGTATGCCTCCAAGACGGCCCAAGATGCACCCAAGACGGCCCAAGATGGCCTCAAGAGGGCCCAAAAGGGCCCAAGAGGCTCCCAAGAGGCCTCCAAGACGGCCCAAGAGGCCTCCAAGAGGTCCTCCAGGAAGGTCCGAAGATGCCAAAATCATTGAATTTCCTAAGGTGTTTGAAGGATTGTTGGTATTTGCGCCTTTTCGGCTTTCCGATGGCCCAAGACGGCCCAAGAGGCTCCCAAGGTCGCCCCAAGATCGGCCCAAGAGGCCTCCAAGATGGCCCCATGACGGCCCAAGAGGCCCCCAAGACGGCCCCAAGAGGGCGCCAAGACGGCCCAAGAGGCCTCGAAGACGCCCAAGATGGCCGCTAAGACGGCCCTGGAGCACCCCAAGAGGGCCCCAAGTCGGTCCAGAAAAGCCCCCCAAACGGCTTCCGACGGCGTCAGACGGGCCAGGAGCCCACCAAGATGGCCGAAGCTGGCTCGCAGCTGGCCCAAGACGGCCCAAGAGGCTTCCAAGAGGGCCTCCAGGAAGGCTAGAAAAGGCCCAAAAGAGTGATTTCCCGTAGGTTTTTTGAAGGATTTTGACATTTGCTTCGTTTCGGCCTTCCGACGGCCCGATACGGCCCAAGAGCCCCCAAAGATCGCCCAAGGATCGCCCAAGAGGCCTTCAAGATGGCCCCAGAACGGCCCAAGAGGCGCCCTACACTGCCCCAAGAGGCTCCCAAGACGGCCGAAGAGGCCTCGAAGACGCTCAAGATGGCCTCAAGACGGCCTACGAGCCCTCCAAGACGTCCTCCAAGAAGGCCCGAAAGGGTCAAAATGGCCTCCAGGCGGCCAAGATGACCTTCAAGATGCCCACGTGTTCCCCGAAGGCTTTTCAAACCGATTCGGGGAACAAATGGTCCAATAGCTTGGCAGGAGTGGCCTCAACGTTCGGCCACATAGGCGCTTCCACAAAGGCAGGGGGCGGCGGTGATTCGCCGTAGGCGTCTTCGATAAATATCAAAATGCGAAGGAGGTATGAGGGCCAGTATTGGGCAAGTGCGCCCCGCTTATCTACTATGCTGTCGCAGGGCCCAAATGACGACAGCTCGCTCGCTCACGCCACGTGAGCCTGGGGGGGAATGACTATCCATACTCAAATTATTAAACCTCGTCGTCTTGCCACGCGCCTGATGAGCCACGATCGCAAATCAGGAACAACCGCGCTGCCTGCGCGAAGGCCTGGAGGGAGAACGGCGGATGCCATCTGGCTGCCCCGCTCGCTGCATCCCCCCCCCTGCGACGGCACAGCAAAGCTTGCTTGGTCCCGGGGCGCTTCTTGGAGGACATCTTGCTTACGGCCATCGCCGCCAGGCTGCCGGAAGCGTTCTTGGCCTGCGCTGCGATCGCCGTGCGGTCCCGGAACACCACGCTGTAGAAGAGCCGGCTGGGCGGCTCCGGCAGTCGCTCGGGCGGCTTCTCCTAAGCAGAGGGCTCGAGCACGCCGCCACCGTGCCTGGCCAGGGACGCCCTGGGCCCCAGGACGGCTATCTTGGCCTGCTGGGCCTCGGCCACGAGGGCGCACACGCCGTCACGGAGCCCAGGGTGGCTCTGGCCAGCAGGCAAGGAAGGTGCACGCGCGTGCTCTCAGCGTGTCCTCCTCCTGCGCCTCCGCGGGCGGATCTGTGGTGACCGCAGCCTCGACGTTCTGCGCGCGGAGCTGCTCCTCCAGGACCGCGGGGACCTTGGTCATTAGCATGAACCTGACCATGGAGCTGATCTTGTCCTCTATGCCCTGCCACGCGTCTTCCTTGCCGAGGGCTGGGAATATCTCGTGGAGCGACATGATTGCGCTCGTGAAGCGCTCGCCTTTCGCCTCGCTCAATATCGCCGACAAATCAAAATCCTTCACGGTCATGCTCATGGTGGCCACGAGACCGTGCGTGGGCTTCTTTGGGGCTACCTCAACCGTGAAGCCTTTCTCGCCCAGCTTCTCGGGCAGGAGAGTTACAAATTTCTCCACGAGCTTATCCATGAACGCCTCGTCTGAGACCACATAGCCCATCGCCCATCCAAACCAGAAGCCTCCCAATTTAGCCACCACCTCGTCCTTGTTCTTCACGGCCACCACAATGTCAAATGTGAATGGCTCCTTTGAAACCACATCTGCGGTGTGAACCGCAATGCGAGCGGCACTGGTCAACCGCACAACGAAAACTGCGAGAAAGGCCGGCCAGAAGCCGAATGCCATCCCGCCGCGGTATCAAGCAAGCAACGCCGAATTCTCAGACACAAAGATCGAGCCTACGCGGCGACCGAGTACGAGGCTAGGCGAGGCAGGACGGGAGAGGAAAGGGGTGAACATCTACGGGCGCCCGCCCGCACTTGTGGATGAGGGTGAAGGATGAGCCCGATCCGTTGGCACCCGATCTGTGCCCGATCCGCGTGCCCGAGTTGCGCGAACGATTCGCGTGCCAGATCAGCGCGGCCGGTTAGCGTACCATTTTTAGAAAGCGCAAACATCCACCCCCATCTTTCGCCAGCCCAACGGGCCAGAGGCGTGCTAAGAACTCCGGCAACTGGCTTACAATATTCTAGTTCGCCCGCGTGGGGCGGCCCCTGGGGGCCCTCGAACGAACAGTGCCCGGACAGGTCTCGGCCAGGTGAGGCCCAGAGATGGTTTTCCTCCTCGGCGCTGCCTTCCAAGCTTCCCCGGACGCCCCAAGAACGCTCCAAGAGAGCCCCGTGACGTGCTCCAGACGGTCCGGGGGGTCCTCGGTCGCCGCCAGACGGCCCAAGACGCCGCCAAGAAGCCCCAAGAGAGCCTCAAGAAGCTCCACTAGAGAGCCTCATCAAGCAAAAAGTGTCCCATTCCCTTCACAAAGCGCACATGTTGCGCAAAAGCGACGTTTCGAGGTCCAGCGCGTCCAACACTGCCCACGAGACCTTCAAGACCGCCCCAATACGCCCCAACAGACCCCCAAGATGGGCCCCACACGGCCCAAAAGGGCCCCAAGACGGCCCACGAGGCCCCCCGGACAGCCCTAGACAGCCCTACGAGGGGCCCCATCGGGGGAGCTCGCATTGAACATTCCAGCTTGCCGACCTGCACGATCGTCCTGAGACGCCCAAGATGGCCTCCAAGAAGCCTCAAGAAACCTCAAGAGGCTCTCCTAGAGAGCCTCAAAAAGCAGAAAGCGTCTCATTCCCTTCAGAAAAAAACGCTCTGTGTTGCACAAAATCGACGTTTCGAGGTACAGCGCGTCCAACAGTGCCCACGACACCTTCAAGATCGCTTCAAGACGGCCCAACACACTCCCAACATGGGCCCCACACGGCCCAAGAGGGCCCCAAGACGGCCCACGAGGCCCTCTGGACAGCCCTAAGAGGAGCCCCATCGGAGGAACACGAATCCCACCAATCCTTTAGGGCGTACGTGGTTTAGGGTGTTTCCTCTTCCGCCCCCTGTTTCCCCTTTTTTCGGGGGAGGGTTTATCACTGTTCCCTATCAATAAACACCCCATCCCCCAGGCGACTGGTACCAACCACGAACCATGAGGGCCCCCCCCCCATCCCCTGTCAAACAACAAGACAGAATACACTTGGCGGCGGCGGCGGCTGCGGCGGCTGCGGAGGCGGCGGCGGTGGTGGCGGCGGCGGCGGCGGGGGCGGCGGCGGCGGCTGCGGCGGCGGCGGCGGTGGCGGCGGTGGCGCGGCGGCGGGCGGCGGCGGCGGCAGCATCGGCGGCGGCGGCGGGGGCGGCGGCGGCGGGCGGCCCCCAGTAGCTGCCCATCCAAAGACGACTGCTGAATATGCTGAGGCTCGGGCCAGACTCGGGTGCTACGTATGTGTTGGGAGGGCGGGTGGGAGTGAGCGAGACGGCTTGCGGGCGGGGAGGGAGTCTTGATCACTGTTCCCTATTAATAAACACCCCCTCCCCCAGGCGACTGGGGGCCAACCCGGTCCATGCCACACCCCCCCCCACCATCCCTTGTAAAAAACAATACAAAACACACTCTGCCTCCAAATTCGGAACATGCGCAGCCAACCCGATGCGGCCCCCCCCCCCACCATCCCTGTCAAAAAACAATACAGAGTACACTTGGCGGCGGCGGCGGCGGCGGCTGCGGCGGCGGCGGCGGCGGCGGCTGCGGCGGCTGCGGCGGCGGCGGGCGGCGGCGGGGGCGGCGGCGGCGCGGCGGCGGCGGCTGCGGCGGCTGCGGCGGCGGCAACGGCTGCGGCGGCGGTTTGGCAGCGGAGGCGGCGGCGGTTTGGCAGCGGGGCGGCGGCGGCGGCAGCGGCGGCGGCGGCGGCGGCGGCGGCGGCGGCGGCGGCGGCGGCGGCGGCGGCGGCGGGCGGCGGCGGCGGATTGGCCCCCAGTAGCTGCCCATCCAAAGACGACTGCTGAATATGCTGAGGCTCGGGCCAGACTCGGGTGCTACGTATGTGTTGGGAGGGCGGGTGGGAGTGAACGAGACGGCTTGCGGGCGGGGAGGGGGTCTTGACCCCTCCCCCTACCCCCTCCCCTGGACCTTGAGGGGCGTTTCGCGGGTCGTCGGAGCGTCCAAAGCGGCCTCGGCGAGGAAGCCAAAATCATTGGTTGTAGTATGGTTTTGGCCCCATTTTGGCCTCTTGGGGGTGCAGCGCTAATTGAGGGACCCCCCTTCTTTGATCGATCTCCTCCGAGATGGCCCAAAACGCGTTTCCAAGGCTCCCAAGGGTGCCCCAAGAGGGCCCCAAAGCGCTCCCAAGACTCCTAAGAGCGCTTCAAGTAGGCGCCAAGAGGCACCCAGAAGACCTCATCAGGCGCCCAAGAGGCCTCCAAGAGGCTCCCAAGAGACCCTCAAGAGACCCCGAGAAGCTCTCCGCGGCACCCACGACGCTAAGAGGCGTCCGGGACCGCCAAGAGGCCCCACAGACGCTCCAAGAGGCCTCCACTGGGGGACCCTTCCTCTGTGTGCTGCCCGCTTCCCTGATCGAGGCAACTCCTCTCGGCATCGTTTCTGGATGGGCTGGTGGGGTTGCGCGAAGCGTCTAGATAACGCCAAGAGACCCCCGAGAGGCCTCCCAAGAGACCCCCCAAAAAGCACACAAAGAGGCGGACCCACAGGAAGCAATTCAACTGCATCACCTGCAACGCTCACCACGCCCCGCCTCCAGAAAGTGCCAGCCGCCCAGCGGCACAGCATTGACAACAACACCCAGACAAACGACAGCGGCGAGACAATACGGGCCGGCGGAATGAGCGAAGCGATTAAATAACCACCCCGACAAGCGATGCCGTTTAGTAAACGCACCCAAGGAAGTAATCGAACAAGGCAGGGCTTTTAACAAACCGCCCATAGCCGTTTAGTAAGCGCCAATTGTCCGGTCCAGGTGTTTTTTTTCCGTCCTTGACTATTAGCGTGCGCGATTAGCGCACCCGCCCAAGGGTCGAGACTCCGTTGCAGCCACGCGCGCGCAGGAACCTGATCGGACAAGAACGAGAAGTGCCGAAGTTGTCCATTGGGCTCGTAAGGATGACGGCGTCGACAAGGCGGCGGATGACGAGGCTGTCAGCGTGGATGACGCGGAGGGAAAGGATGTGAGCAGGAGGACAACGAGTAGGAAGTCAAGCACGAGGACGAGGAGGAAGAGATGGAGGAAGACGCGTACGAGGAGGAACGAAGCAAAGGTGGGGGAAGAGAAGAATGACGACGACGAAGGACGGTAAGGACCCCGAGGAAACGGACGTCTAAGAAGGGGGGATCATCGTGAACATTGAGGCTACCCTTGGGGGCTGTTGGGGCCATCTGGGGCCCGGCTCTGTGAATACACCGGGCGAGTGCGATGGGAAGGGATGGGCTAGAGGGGTACAATGTCAGAGGTCGTCCAGCGCAGTGATCGAAATGCGAAACGACCATGCTAGCAACAGAAGGCGCCCACACTCGGTGACAGGACGTACGAAAGCGTGTGAGCCTCTCGAATCTGAGTGGGCGCTGTCTTTGGCTTCCTTGTTTTGGAGCCTCTTGGGGCCATGGGGAGGCAGCGAAATTGCTTTGGAGGCGGGCCGCTTCGGGCGCTCTTCGAGCCCTTTGGGGGCCTCTTTGGGAGGCCTCTTGGGGCGCTTGTGGGGCCCTCGTGGGAGCCTTTGGGGCCTCTCCTGTGCCGATTGGGCTTGCAGGACGTGGTTCTGGTTCTGCGGGGCCTAGAAAGGCTGGAGGGGGCACCACTGAGGCGCCAAAGCCCGAGGCCTCCTCTGGGCCTGTCCCAGAGGGCCTACCAGGGCCGTCCCCGTGCACTGCCGCGGTCTCCTAGGGCTCTCTTCTAGCGTCTTGTCGGCCTCTTGGGCCGCTCTTATAGAAAATCGTCATTGGAAATCGTCATGTAGCGCCTTGAGGCCATCGAAACTTGTCATGGAAAGTCTTGGGCGGCTCTCTGGTAGCGCCTTGAGGCCATCGAACATCGTCACGCTCTCAGGCCGTCTTGGAACGCTGTTGCGTCTCTGTTTGGGCCAGCGAGGGGGGTACGTCCGTCACCTGGGAGGATCGCGCGCTGTCTCGGAAGACTCCTGGGCCACCTGAGGAGCATCTTGGCCGCGCTTAGGGCCCTCCTGGGACCGTCTTGAAGGCCCCTATGGGCCGTCTTGGGGCGCTCTTGGGCCATCTTGGGGCTCTCTCGGGGCGTCTTTTCTGGGCACATCTGAAGCCCAACAAGAACGATTCCAAAACGATGCTGTGGTTCGGAGCAACCTCCGGGGAACCGTCTCTTTGAAGAGGCCGCGAACGAAAAGGCACTCTTCCCGCCATCGAGCCGGGTTCGGCATGCGGCCCGTGCCCCGAAGTCTGCGAACCTCAAACAGACTCTGCCAAAGAGCACGCGCTCCATGCCAGAGGCGCTTCCCGCCCTCCGCCACCGTGCCTCCTGGCACGCTGGGGCGTGGAAGGGTGCCGAGTGCTGTCTGGCAGGGGCCGCAAACTCTCCTGGAAGAGGCCCACCCCGCCCCTCTCGTCGCACCCGGTTGCCTTCACCACGCCTGCTCCTGGAGGTCCCTGGGCGGCCACGGTGCCTCCCGGGGGGTCACGAAGGCTGCCAGGACGGCCGAGGAGGGTCACCGCAGCCGCCAAGACGGCCGAGCATGCTTCGACAACGGCCCGAATTGGCTCCCAAGACGGCCCAAAATTGCCTCAAGACGGCTCAAAGAGGCCCCGAGACGAGACGGCTCAGGATGGACCAAGAGAAGCCTCAAGAAAGCCTGACGTGGAAACAAAAATTGTCCTAAATGTTTCCATTGTTTGGGGGTTCTCACGTTTCTGGGCTTCCGCCAGCTCAAGGCGGCCCAAGAAGCCTTCAAGATCGCCTCAAAGAGGGCCTGTGAGAGCTCCAATATGAATTCACAAGCGTCCAAGACGGCCTCAAGGAGGAGCACCGTGGCGGATGTGCCGGAGGCAGCTGGAGTAGAATACGACCGTTCGGACACCCCTCGCTCTGACAAGGGAGATCAAGGGAGGGCAGGAAAGAGGACCAGGAGGTTGTACGATGAGAGGGTGGCACTGGCAGCCTGATGAATACGGCAACAATGGCTGCGACAATAGACCTGAAACAATTGGCATGTTCAGCAATCGAAGCGGGCAACCATGATCGAAGTGTGTGAAATTGGCCGCAACTGAAAGCTCGGCTCCAAACCCTATTGCGCCTCGCGGATGCGAAATTCTCCCCCTGGCAACAAAAAACGCACAAACGATGGCGTGGAATGGCAAACTAAGGCACCGACCAATTCGTATGTCTCTCGGAAGAGATGCAACGTGTCAATCGTCACGACGGTCACATCGTCGAGCAAACCCAGCGTGGACAACTTGTCCAAAATTAATATGCCCAGAATATGGGCTGCACGGCAAATAAGCAAATCTTGATCACGGCAACGCTTCCTCTGGATCTTGAATAGAATTCGGTATGTAGTGTTGAAGCTTTGTAATACTATGGCAATAATTCGCCGCTCAGCACGACCTCGCAGACTCAGAAACATCATAACATTGCACAACACACAACACAACACAAACACCTACGTGATATCACACAACACGCCGTAATGCACCTCACAAAAAATACCATGACAATCGCCCGTAATGTAATTATCACCATGCGTAGCCAGTTTGACTGAAGGCTCAAGGCGCCAAAGGCTGGTTTGTTTCTAGGAGGAACCTTGGCTTTCCCTCAAGCAAGATCGGCTCGCCGATTACAACCGTACATCTCTCGTTCCGAATAGCGCCCAATGACAAATCTGGAAAGTAGAAGGCGGATTCGAGCACCGGTTCGACTCCGAAAGACAAGAAGCTAAAGGCGGAAGAAGAAGAGAAGGAGGAAGTAGTGGATGAAGGCATGGAGGAAGGATATGAGGGCATGAGCGAGAAGGAGATGATGAAGACAATGATGAGGATGATGAAGGAAATGAAAAACGACATGAAAAACACCGGGAAGGAAATGAAAGAGGCGAAAGACATGGCGCTGCAGGCCAAGTACTCCGCGAGCATGGCAGAGGAGGCCGTGATTAAGGTCAAGGGGGAGATGTACATCATCAGGGACACCACCATAAAGAAGGCAGATTTGCCGAACATGGTGAAGGACATTGTGAAGGAGCAGGCGCACCAGCCGCAGGAGACAAAGACGGTGGATATGCAGGACAGCGTCAGGGAATTACAGGTCATCGCAACTGGATTGCAGGAGGCGGAGGACGAGGAGGATGTCGTCAGGCAGGTGAAACATGTGGTGGAGGAGATAGGGGGCGGGGAACAAATACACCGACATTCGCGTGTTCACGGATCCCTCGAAAATCGGAGTCGTGCAATTCGAATCAATCGATCGCAGCGAAGATTGGTTTTCTAAAGAAATCAAACAATACAAAACATACTTGGGAAACTGGGTCTGAAATGCGATTCAAAAGCAATGACACGATGGCAAAGCGGACCGTCGATAAAGAACTTGGCAAAATCAAAAGCTTCCTCCACGACGAAGGTAAGGGCCACAAGCTGGAGGACATTGTGATTAAGTGGAAGGAGCGTGTGGTGGAGCTGAAGGGGAAGAGGGTGGCGTTTGAGGAAGAGGAGGGCAAGGGCATGGAGTACGAGGGAGAGGGGATGAAGGTCCGAGAGTCCGCGCAGGCTTTCATGAAGGAGTGGGTCAATAGCGGGCTGGCACTCAAGACGACGATCTTTGACTAGGCCTCCGGAGAGGCTTACGCAGTACCAGTACGAGTCGGGGCCTATACAAGGGCGGAGGGCGTGGCATTTACGCGAACATGAAGGTGTCTACGGGAGGCGAGCGTAATCAATACAAAGACGTACCCGGCGATTTTCCAGTGGCAGCGCTGCGCGGCGTAAAGACGCAGCAGGAGGTCCATCAAGAGGGAGGCCAGTTGTTGAACACATTCCAGAAGAATGCGAGGGGTCTTACGGACGATGGGAAGATCGAGGAGATGATCAAGGAGCTCATTGCTGTAAGCCGGGATGCTGTTATTTTGAATGAGACGTGGCGCACGGAGGCCCAAGAGTACTTTGAGATGCCCGAAGGACATCTCTTTGCCGGAGCTGGGTATTTTAAGCGCGAGAGGGGAGTGGCAATTCTTGTGCATCGCAGGTGGGCGAAATCAATTATAATTGTTGTTGCCGTGAGTGAGCGCACTGCGTGCGTGGACATCAACTTCATCACATACCGTGTGCGACTCGTTGCAGCCTATTTCCCCATTCTAAATGCGCGGACGTACATGTGCAAGAGGTATACAACATTATGTCTACTTTATGACGGGAGGCGGATATCAAACACTATCGTTTTCTTATCGGCGCTGATTGCAACGCCCAGGCAGGCATCCGCACCGAGTTCGACGATCCCATGGTGGTGGGCCCATGCGGGATGGGCGACGAGAACTCAAGGGTGCGGTGGCTCAAGCAATGGGCTACGATGGAACAGCTTATGCTTTCAAACACGTATTGTTCAAAACTGCCTGAAAAAAAACAATTACACATACAACCACGAAAGGCAGGACGAGACAGATCGACTATATTATGGTAGATCGTCAGATGCGGAAGCTCGTGTTCTGAGCGTATCCTTGATCTTGGTTCGGACCACGCTGCTGTCAAAATCGTACTTTGGTCAAAGCACAAGAACAAGACAACTCTCAAGAGAGAAGCGTTGCAAAAGGGCTCTCCGGGACTCCATGGAAAACTGTTCATACGCAAGGGTACGCAGATACATTGGAGCAGATAATACGTGACGTGGGGTGGCCGGACGACGTGAATGATCGGGCGATGCAGCTTGAGTCTGTCTTGGTGGCGTCTGCAGCGCAAAATGCAGAGAGAGAGAGAGAGAGAGAGAGAGGCTCTACTGCAAAGGGTGCGGCTACACAGACACGCGAACAGCATCTGCGGGACTTGATTCAGGAGCGGCAGTCTTTACCGAACGATGCGGGGCCCAAGCGGGCTGAATTGAGCAAGCAAGTTTCGAAAACGATGCGTGCCATGAGAAAATCAATCGCCAACGATCGCATCAACGACATCTTGGAAAGCTTTTCCGGATTGGATAAGATACCAAGGATCAAATCCAGAACGAAGAAATCGTGGTCCCTTGTATGCTCGACGGCGGCAAAGTTGTTACGACGAGGGTTGGTATGGCAAATGTTATCGCGTCCTTCTATGAGGAGTTAGATTCATCAAAATCTGTAGTACTAACGGCTGGTGTGCACTTACTGGAGACATAGCGGGCGAAGTCGTGCCAGATTTCACTCCACAAGATATCAAAGAAGCCCTGCAGCAGTTGCGACGGAAACGATGCCCGGACCACAGCGGCGTCGTTGGGGAATTCTTATGGAAGCAGGTACTGCTTTGCTGGAAGCATTGGCAAAACTATTCAACGACATTCTGAAGCCCGACACAGAACCACCAGCGAGCTGGAAACAAGCCGTAATTACTGTTATGTTGAAGTCTGGTGACGAGCGATTCGCAAAAAAAACATCGGCCGACTACTATTGTTCCTGTGCTGATATAAACTGTTCCCCAGATTGGCCTACAACCGCATCCCGCCTATTTTGGAAAAGAGCCAGAGCCCGGACCAGGCGGGCTTCCGAAGCGGCCTCCGCACGGAGGACCACCTGTTCACGGCATCTCGGCTCCACGAGAAGGCAGCCGAGCTTCGAATCCCCTGTGTGGTGCGCAGCAGATCGACTTCCGGAAGGCGCTCGACGCGGCAGAGCACCGGGCTCCGTGGAATGCTTTGGCGAGGCAGCAGGTGCCCACCCCGCGCGTATCCTCACCAACGAGGTGGTACTGCGGCCAAAAGAGGGGCGAATCAGAACAGACGCATTTAGCCGGGCGTTCGACATGATATCTTCGGGTCGGGCGAAAGGGGGGGATAGCAAAGGGGGGGTTTGAGAATCAGCTCGCGTAGCTGATTTTCCCGGCGCCTCCTGGCGCCGGAGGCGGCTATGTATCAAGGAATGGGCCCCTCGGTGGGGCCGAAACCAGCTGCATGCAGCAAATTTCGTAACCCCCCCTTTCCCAATCCACCCGTTTCGCCCGACCCGATGTCTATGGGGCACCAGGCAAGGCGACCCGCTGAGCTCGCTCCTCTTTCACGCGCTGCGGGAGGATGGTGTTCGCGATGCGAAGGCACGGCGGGTGGAGAGGGGGGCACTCCAGAGTTCGTAATCAAACGGGAGGGGGTCTGGACCCTCCAGGACAAGCCACTGCAGACCTCCCCCGTGGGAGAACCCTCCAAAACATCGTCCCCAGACCCCCCCCCCGGGCCCTCCAGGACAGCCTGGAAGAGACCCCCCCCGAAATGAGACCCCCCCTCCCTTGATAACGAAATCGGGAGCACGGCGGGCAGCTCGGATGCAGCGATGCGTCTCGGATGGCGATCTTGCGACTCGCGGACGGCGCGCTTCTCATCGGCCACCGCTGGCAACAGGTAGCTCGCATGCTCTCGGGCGTGCGGAGGTCAGCAGCCTCAGCTGCACTTCTGCTGCATCCAGATAAGACGAACATCATCACTAAGGCGACTCGTGGCCACTGGGCGGGGAGAGAGAACGCATGCCACAGTCGACGACATGCAGGTCGAGATCGTGCCGCTCGCGAACCCGGTGAAGTATTAGGGCAAGCACGTGGTCCTCGAGGACCCCGCAGAAACGGAACTTGAACACCGACTTCGTCAAGGATGGAAGGCGTTCGTGGCGAACAAGGAGGAACTATCAGCAAGAAGTATTCGCTCAGATGTCGCTTGCGTCTCTTCCAGAGCGTGGTCACGCCCACAATATTGTATGGATCGTCGAGCTGGACACTTTCTGCTGCCATGGAACAAGAGCTACAAACAACGCAAAGCCGGATGTTGCGCATGTTATTCGGTATTGGGCGAGGTCGCGTACAGGATGCTGACCAAGGTTGCTGCTCAAACTCGTCTTCCAATTCTTTTCGTTTGGATCGCCGTCTTCATCTTCGTCTTCGGTCTCAACAGCCACGGAGCGTCCAGCTACCTTGGAACCATGGCTAGATTGGATCAAACGTGATACAGCCAAAGCAGATCGACAGTTGGATCGTCACCTGGAGACGCAAGGTCTGGCGCTACGCAGCCAGGCTGGCTGACATGCCCCGGGACAGATGGGCGATTCAAGTTTCGATCTGGGATTCTGCGGACTGCCCGAGGGCGAAAGGCCGCTGGCAGCACCAGCCCCAAAAAAGCTGGAATCTTAGTATATTACAATTTCTACGCAATGCCAGTTACAACGTGGATGGGGCAAACTGGTTTGAATTTGCTGCAGGCACGCAGCGGTGGAAAGACAGGGAAAAAGAATTCTGCTCTACAACGTGGTGAAAACCAACATGTACCTGCACATGTGAGGCACTGCGGTGCCATCCACCCACGCCCCGCGCTGGGCCGGGATCTGCCCGTCAGTGGGTGTCTCTCTCTCTCTCTCTCTCTCTCTCTCTCAGAGCGGGTTCGAAATAGGCGTTGCCCCCACTCTCCCTCTACGAGCATGCAGGATCCGTATCCAGATGCAGCCGCGTCGGCCTGGAAGCTCGAGGTGAGGGTGCGGTGCCCGTCTGAGCCAACCGACAACCCATCCCCACCCCCCATGTCCATCCATCTACACCCACCTCCCGCACCCCTATTGTTAAGTCGGGCCTGTCCCCTTACAGGGGGATTTTCGACGAAGAATAAAAAATACCTCAAACAAAATCAAACAATAGTCCAAAATTAGTCTGGGGACTCTTTTTGGACTATTTTTGGGCCTCTCTGGAGTATTTTGGGGGTATTTTCTTTATTTTTCGTCGAAAATCCCCCTGTAGGGGGACACGCCCGACATAAGCCTATCGTGCCCCTCCTCGCCCAGCTCAAGCTTCCTGCCTTGTCCTCACGATCCTGCCCTCTCTCTCCCCTTTCCCCCTGTGTCCCCGTCCACCACGCCACCCCCTTCTCCTCCCTTTCCTCCTCTCCGTTTCCGCCTTCTCCTCCTCCTCCTCCTCCTCCTCCTCCTCCTCCTACACCGCCTCCACTTACTCTCCTCTTCCCCTGCCAGGGTCTCGCACAGCCAACCGGGACCCAGAACCCAGGACGAGTCTGGTAACGAGAGCTGGAGCCCACACCGCCCCCGCCCCTTCTCATCCCCATCCCTCGCCCACATCTCTCTGTCATACCGTTTCCCTCCCCCTGCC